AATATAGACGATTATGACAAATCAACTTTTTTAATTCTTTTCAATCTCCAATCGAGCAAAGACACGTAAAAACAACGTTTTCAATGGCACGATAGTATCATGTTGGTGATTGTTTTATAAAAGCACTAACATGTCACGCGGCTATTTGCTGACACAAGAAAAGTAAAGAAATATTATCTTTATTATATTTTTGTTATTTTCTATCTACATCCAACTATAAAACGACAAATATTAATAATATATAGAATCATTTTTTTATTTTGTGTCAAAGTGTGCGGATAGATCGTACTTATGGATCGAACTCGTTTATTATTTTTCATGATACTCCTGTGTGGTTGTCTTGCCTTCACATTTGTTACCGTGGCTTTGGCTACTAATGAATGGATAGTGATCAAGATTTTTAACAGGAAAATGGTGTCGTTCGGTTTATGGAAATATTGTATAATAAATAAATGTTTTAGTAGTGTAGCAATAACGCCAATAGTTTTAACCAGTGTTACAATAGTTCTGATCTTGATCTCTTTAGCTGTTACTTCAGTAGTAAACGCTAGAAAACAGTTCTCATCAAAAATGTTCTTCATACCCGTCATTTGTCTTTTTATAACCATCATTATTCTGCTTGCTACTATAGTAGTTTTCTGGCCTGAATTACCACAGCGTTCATATACAAAGTTTATAGATGATACTATTGGTAAATCAAAGTTTAATGAACAGAGTCTGACTATACAGAAAAGCGGTATATCAAGTTCGAATATTTATAATTCGGCTGGATCGAACTTAGATATATGGAAAACAATTGAGTCTCAATTAAGTAAATGGAATTTGAATAATCTAGATTTTGATGAAATAAATTTACGCAATTTAATAACAATTAAACATGGCTTTAGTTCAATATTACTCATCAGTGCCTTACCACTGCTCATTATATGTTTGGTTTCATCAACGTTTATCGCTGCTTTTCGCAAGGCTGAATGTATTGTAAACAAAAATCAAATCGACATGTCTTATGTTAATAGACACTAAAATTATTAACATTGACTTGAAAAAAAAAACTTATTTCAATCAGTTTTACAAACTTCTTTCAACATAATTTTTCTTGATTGCTTGCTTCTGCTATTACCAATGTGAAAGTCTGAATTTATTTGAATGAAATAAAATTTATAATCATGCATAGCACCAGTACAAAATGTCGATAAAAAATCATCTCTACTAGAGAGTTAGTAAAATTCTCACTGTATTCTGCTGAGAGTTTTGTATTTGTTTATGGCATTATTCTAAAGAATTATGTTTAGAACGGAAATTTTCTTGTCAAGGACGATGTGAGAATAATAATGAGGGTGTTGACTTAGGTCATAGAAGATGGTTGACCACACTCATCCTATTCTGTGTGAGGAAGTGGAGCATTTAGCTACTTAAGGAATCAAGTATCTGTTCTATTTCTCTGAATAATTTCGAGTATCTTCTTGTTTTTTTTTTCTTGTATAACTATTCTAACGAAATATTTATTTCACATTGAAATTGTTAATGAGAATGTTGTAAGAAAAAAAAAGAAACAATTTTTTGTAGTAAATTTATTGAAAAAGTGTATTATAATGAAAAAAATTACATTCTTTTTTTTATTGCTGCTCTATTACAAATCTCTACAAGTCGATAACACTAAGTGTGCTGATTATCAATGTCACATTTTTTTTCAAAACTACTTAGATGATCAGAAAAATTTGAAACACTCACTAAAAAAAAAACATGTTCGAAGAACCTGAAAATTTTAGTTTCTAATATATTCTTTCTTCGAAAAATATTAACCAACACCGACTTTTAGCATCATCATGCCTTTTCAAGAAAAAAATTCTATGTTTCAATCTCGATATGAATTATCAGGATTTCATTGATGAACAAAACCTAAAAATGATCGCCAAATCTGATCATAATGAATACTAGTATTTTTGATTTAACTCTATGTGATTGTGTTATTCGAAAGATATCGTCGAATCCAATTGAATTTATCATCTTGAGAAGATATTATAAAGCTTTCTTTTGTTTCTGTTAATCAATTGAGGAACGAAAACGTATAAATATGATCGCTTTCATATCTCTTATAATACTGTTATGATCTGTAACACAGCTATACGTATTGTGAGGATTTGTGAATATAGCTGAAGAGAAGACATACGCACGCTCATACCTTCAAGCTTATCATATTCTGAACTACTTGTAGACATTTTTTTATATCGATGTGAATAAATTTGTTTCATCATGATTTCAAAAATATCCATTGCTTTTGTAAAAGTAAACCTAACCTCTTAAAAGGTTAAATATATTATAAACATAGGAATGATACTCATCCTTTTCTAATAGTTTCGAACAGATGTATTAATTTCTAGATATTTTTATATGATTCGATGGAGTTCGCCAAACTATACGAGATTATAAATATCAAAAAAAAAACAAACACTTCTAATTCTATTTCAATAATATGAGTTGTAATTGACAGATAATTAATATTTTGAGATGTAGTGTAACATATATCCAAGATTAAGTAAAACTATGACACTTTTTGAATATCTTTCAAATTTTATTTTGAAAAAAAAAAGAGAGAGATTAGAATTTTTGTGATATTTATATATTTCAAAACGTTTATCAAAATCTATCGAATCCTATAAAAATTATAGCTCTTTCATTGATTACCGTATAATCTTTATTTTTTGACAATACAATCGATATCTAAAATTGTATTCTCATTTTAAACTTAATAACCAATATCAATTAGTAAATAATTGTCAATAGTCTAACAAATATTATATGATTATAATGATGATTTAATCAAAATTTATAACACAATCGATATTTTTGTTTTTTTTTTGTATTTGTTAAAACAATTAAATCAACCAACATTGTATGTTTTATTTCCTCTCAATTTACTTGATTTCAGCACGTTCAATTCAATGAGAAGTTATGTCATTTAGAGATTTATCGATTTGAACAAATCAACATACAACTGTGATATTTCCCATATCGGCTATGTTAAATATATATATATATCAACTTTGAAATCGGCTTGTATTCTTCACATTTAACTAATAACAAAAGGCGATTGTTTCATAAAAAAAACTACATCTTCAAATTTGAAAAATATCCTAAATAATCATCATGTCACGTACACATTTTACTTCCAAATCATTTAATTATAAATTCAGTTTTACATCATACTTAAAAATATGCAAAATAGACAATATTGTCATTACTCCTCCTCTTCATATAGACAAATATATAACAATTCGAAAGACAAAAAAAGAGAACAAAAAATTATTCGATCTAATGGATGAACATTTATTTTCTTTCATGTTCAATCACTTAGGTGTGCATCAACACCTCAATGTTATACATGTGCCTTATTTTATTCGAAGTAATTTAATATACACCTTCTCACTTTGATGATGTGTTGCTCATTTTTGTCAAATGATTTTCAACAGATATTATTAAAGCTGGGGATCTAAATGAGTTTTTTTTTTTTCTCAAAATAATATGATACACCAGCAGTAAAACGAAAAAAAAAAAAAAACGAAGAATTGATACATATATACATAAATAAATGAAAATCAATTTACCAATCATTGTTAAGAGAATAGAGAACAAACTATATATAATCATTTGATTGTGTGCGATACAGAGCAAGTGTAATCCAATTACGACTAGCGAAGAGCACGAGAGAAAGAGAGAGAAAGTGTGCATACGTGCTCACTCAGCCGAATTCAAATATATATATATATATTGTCCTTATATACAGTCATCAATATCATTTTCATTGCATCCATATGGAATGTAAGTAGATTTCCTATATTGTTCTAAATAGAGAGAGATGTGCTTGATTGGCAAAATAGTATTCAATATAAAATTCTAGAGAAAATACTTCGAAGTTGCTGATATTTTCGTCTATATTCCACATTCGAAAAGCTTGTTAATTATAGAAAAAAAAAAGATGTATCGGTACTTGCAATTAGAGTTTATTGTCGTACGTATATATATCCACAGTATCTTCTCAATATCATAAAGAATAGTATCACTTGATGAGAAGCAGAACTGTAGTATAAAAAAGAAATCAGCACAAACAGTCCATTATCTCATTGATCTAATTCGCTTTTATTATCATTTGCGATCTTGTATTGATAATTAATTGATTTCCGAGCCAATGATCTTCATTCTATCTTGAAGAATTTTTAACAAGAGTCTTTCGATCTATTTGTTTAGTCAATTGTTTATGAGGACGACACTAATACAAAACAAGACTCTCAAAAAAATATTTATAAGATTTCTCAACTCGGAAATTCTATTTAAAATTTTTCAAGATTTTTTTTTTTCGGATGTGAGAAGTAGCCGGAGCAATCAAGAAAATATTTGACTCTTTTTCTTAGTGTAGCCGAAAAATCTTTTGTGCGTTTTCATAGAACAAAAAAAAAAAATCGGTACTTTGAGAACATTTTCATCGATAGAATTCATTATCGATGTGAAGCTACCACGACGGATTTAGGTGATCGCTGAATCCTTAATATTGGAACCCAGAGGCTCAGGCCCTGCATGTGGGTGCTCGGAAGGACATACCCAACACCCTCATACAGGTCCTATGCCTCTGGGTTCCAACACTAAGGATCCTGAGATCACCTAAATCCGTCGTGCTAGCTTCATATCGATGAATTCATTTTTTATCATTCTCGAAAAAGAAAAACTTTTAAAAAAAGTTTTCTTGATTATGATCATAATCGAAATTCAAATACTCTTGTTGTTGATCGTTAATATCATATTTGACCATCACACTCTCATCTTATCACCTCTTAATTCGATAAACATTTTAACAATTTTATTTTTTGTATAACTAAAACGATGGAATCTATCTATCATCTATCTTAAAGTGTTATATTTGTCACTATGTATTTTATTTTTTTTGTGGGTATATAAATAAAAAATCAATCTATCATTTTGTATTTTTAGCTCATTCATCAATTGCTATGTTTATTAGTGAAATACCAGTTCGTTATTATGGAGAAAAATCTATTAAATGGATAAAAGATTTAAATAATCAAACAACAGTTAAAGATATAATTTTATCTGTATTACCATCATGTGATCCAAAGAATTATTCACTTTATATACGTACAGGTCGTTATCGACAAATATTAAATAATTCATCATATATTTATAAAATAGTTGCATCATTTAATCAACAATATTATGCTCGACGTTTATTTTTTGAAATACGTTCAAAAAAAATTTCTCAATTAAATAATAAAAAACATGTTAGATTTGCTGATGAAATAATTATACAAAATATTCAAGGTCGTTGTTGTATATCAAATGAAAAATTAACATCAAATATGATTGAAACAATATCAATACCAATTGAAAAACGTCTTGAAAATTTAAAAGAAAATTTTCAAAAATATGTTCAACATAAACAAGAAAATTATATAAAATTATCATCAATTTCAAAACGGTATTAAATATACAATGTTCCTTTTTTTTATCTATTAAATAAATCAATAAACTTTTTTTTTTAGATCAACACTTAATATTATCAATGAAAATATTCCTAAACATGTTTGTGTACAAAAAGCTATAATACGACAAATTTCATGTTCATCAAGTGAATCGGGTATTAGTTCAAGTGGATCCAATGATGATTTTCTTCTACCAACAACAATGTTAGAAACACTTGTTTAAAACTTTTCTGTTTTTTCCTTTTTTTTTGTTTTTATGCATTGATTAACATAAATAATAAACATTATGCTAAAAGGTTTTTTTATTTATGTTCAGTAATATTGAAATTAAGACAATCAGAGTAATGACAAAAAAAGAAATTAACATAAAATGTTTCATCTTTCAACAAAATGAATTATATCCATAGAGTCCTTGTATGTTATATTATTCATACTATTGTAAACACACATACACTAGTGGTCAATATCATAAGAAGAATACATTTTTCTTCTTTCCTACAATATCAGCATTCAAGGGTGTACTAAGCGAGAGGGTCAGAAGGTCATGCACCCTTCCATCTCTTGAGAAAGAACATGATCGAAAATCATCAATTTGTTCTCACTCTGAACTGTGTTTTTTCTTTGAAGAAGACTATCAAACTGATATCAAATTAGTTTTATAATGCTGAGGAACTTTCATTTTACAATTCTTGATTAAGTTCTAATTCAAATCTAAATATGATTGCGTGAAAACGTAACGATTTCTCATTTCATTCCGTTTAAGATAGTATTCTGAAAAAATAATTTTAATAAAATTCTCTGAAATTTGAAAATCATCATTTTCAATGTTTTAGAAAGTTTGTTTCTATATTTCATCATCTATGAATTTTTATACGACATGCATTAGAATAAAGGCTTCAATCATCTATTTAAATCAATATTTGAATTCAAGTTCAATGCTTTGTATTGTAAAAGAACATAAAAAAATATCTTGTTCTTATAACACTTAACCTCTAGTGTGGACAAGTATTAAAATAACAAATCAAACCTTGTACGTTTGTTTGAATCTTTGAACAAATCAAATATAAATCTTTTTTTTTTGTAATAATTATTATGAAATTTTCTATACGAATATATAGATATGCTTAGACTTGTACAGAATTACTTTTAAGTATTGTTCTTCGTTACTATCAGATGATTACAATAATCAATATATTCCAGCTGTTAGAAATAGAGAATTAAATAACAACGAGCTTATATTATCGTTTATTTTTTCTCCCACTTATGACGCAAAAAAAAAAAAGAGCAGTCCCTCTCTCTGTCTCTCTTGCATGCTTATATATTCATAACGAACGATCGTTGGTGGTGGTAGTAGTAGTAAGAATCATTCTATAGCTCTCACAGAATAACAAAAACAGATTCTTATGGAACTTAATTCAATGGAAAATCTTATTCATTTACCAATTAATGAGAATGTTATCAAGTAATAAAAAAAAAAAAACAAATTCATATTCAATTTGTTTTTTTAATTTTTAGACGATATGGTAAATATACAAAAAAAGTAAATGGAGAACTTGTTAAAGGTATGCATAGAATAATATTAAAAATTCATATTTATTCTCTATTATATCATCATACTTAAGTTATTTATGATTGGTTTGAACGTGAAAATGGTAGTCAATATAAATTAGATATAACAAAACAACAATATGATCAAATGAAATCAATTGTTTCTCCTATGGGTTAGTTTATTTATTTAATTTTTCATAAAAGAAAAATAATTATTCTTTTTTTTTGTTTTCTAAATAATTAGATGTTTATGGAAAACCATTACCATTTGATCAATTTTGTGATATTCTTATACCTGTTATAACTGGTAATGAAAATGAATATCATGATAATTATTCTATATGGTTAGCATTTCATTCGTTTGATAAAAATAATGATCAATATATTCAAGCTGATGAACTTGAATCATTAATACATATTATTGGTAAAACAGTTAATCGAGAACAAATACGAGATTTTATTGATAAAGTTGATTGTGATCATAATGGTCAATTAGATTATAATGAATTTTATCAATTTATTATACGTGGTTATGCACGAGAATTACTTATGATGGATATAACAAAAGAAATTGTTTATACAAATGATAATATGAATATACCAATAAAAACTGATTAATATTATTGTATTTATTTTTATTTTTGTTTTTTTGATAAAGTATAACTTGCTTTTAAATAGAAATCTTGTATGTCAGCTAGTTAAATCATTCGATTCAAACAATATATATTTCAATTTAATGAATAAAATGGAAGAAGCCATAATAACTTTTTTTTTTCAATATTATATAATAGAGCTTGAAGAAATATATATCGTATTGATACTAGAAAGAAAAGCTGTCAATATAATCCTTGTGGAATTAAAATATAAAACATGATGTAGCTGCTGTTGTTTATCACAGGAAGATTGTTCTGTTCTATCTATCATGGGACACATTACTTTTAATTACTTCTTTGAAAGTACAATAAGGAACTAATGTCCATTAAGAGAAAGGCGGGTTTTCGAATAACGTTTGATAGAAGTAAGATAGAGAGTTGCGGTTTTCGCCATTGGAAAGAGGAGATGGAGACGTATCGAACTATATATAATAAGATAATTTGACGTGGTGCTTCAAAGATCTAAAACGACGTTTTTCGAAACGAACATATTTCATAAGGTGACTAAAATGATTTATTTGAATCGCTAACAGAAGATCTAGAAATTATACGCAAAGTCGAGATGTTTAGATCTATCTGTTCAAAAGTTATACGTATCCTAGTGGAAATTCTTAGCCGATTTTTCTATTTATTTCTTTAAAAAACAAAATCACTTTTTAACGTTTTTTCCATAAAATAGGCACTCAATTTTTCGACATTTTTTTAAAATGGATTAAGAAACTTTAAAAAACCTTCTGGAAAAGCCTGTTTTATACAATTCGATGCATCTTCATTTCCTCTTTCCAACGGTGAAAACCGTAACTCTCTATCTTGCTCCTATCAAAAATTATTCGAAAAATACTTACCCGCCTTTTTTTTCTGAATGGGCATTTGTTCATATATTAGAATAAGCGGTCATTTATATATGGATAATAATCCAATATCAACCGAGGAACATTGTTTTTCGCTAAAACTTTCAGAATATTCAATAGATGATCAGATCTATCCATGAGGAAAATTCTACTTTCAAGTTCTGTTTTTGTGATTTTTCAATAAATACTTAAAGCTGGATTGAAAAATCAATACAACGATCGTAACTTGGCTTGGAAGACCCATGTAGACAACCCCTATTAGACTTCTGCTAGTTTTACTAAGACATCCTTATAGATCTAATAGAATCGGATATCAGTTCTGACAGTCTTCTGGTAAATGGCATCTTTAATCTATTTTTAATCGCATGTTCCTAATGATACAGTCTTTCATTTTTTATTCAATACTAATTTAGACTACAATCTAAAATGTTCATTTCCAGATAATTGTTTTTTTTTTTTAACTTTATAATAAATATTTTCTTCGTATAATAAGTCTTATTATTCTTTTATTTTTCTTTCTTTTAAAATCTGTTCTCATATTTCTTGATAAAGAAGATATATCAATATTTTCTTTCATAATTACACATCAAACAATCTATTTAAAATAAAAAATTTTCATTATTATAATCAATTTTTTTTACATTTGAGAAATAAAATGAAAAGTATAATTAAAGATTTGTACTAGTTTTTGAATAATCAAATATTGATTGTTCACCACCCTCTTGTCTATTATATAATCCTCGATTTCCTGTTGCTGTTAATGAAACAGTTGCACCAAGATTTACTGTTGTATTTTCAATTAATGTTGCTCTATCAGCACGTTGAAAATTTTTCCATAAATTTGTTAAAATACCTGATGTAATATCATCACCAACATTTGAATATATAAGTCGAGAAATAAAAAATCCATCATGATGTAAATAATCATAAACAAATGCTTGCATACCAGCACGTACTGTTGTTATACTTTGTTGTACTTGAATACGTTGAACAAGAAATGAATAACGAAGACGTGGTAATAATAAAAATATGAACCAAGAAAAAAAATCATATATTGTTATAACAAGAACAAAATTCATCCAGATATATAGAAGAGTAAAGATTTGTTCATTGTATATATTTATAGTTAAAACACCTAATATAAAAAAAACAAAATATTTGTTTCAATATGAAATTCAAGAATTGATAGTCACAGAATAGCTTAATGTCCGATTGGATTGAAATCGACAGTTTTTAACCTTTCTATCCAGATATATATAGAGTTCTGAACAAGAGATGGACAAAGTCGCACCGCGCCTCCCCGCGCCGTTGCTCACGCCTACGCTACACCAGTCTGAGCTTCGATGAGCGCATGCTTAGAGCATCCCGGTATTCGGTGGAGTTTGAGAAACTGATTGGTAGAGCAAAGAGAAAGAGAGATGTGCGTAGCGCCTAGGCGCGAGCAGCGGCGCGGGGAAGCGCGGGAAGGCGCGGTGCGATTTTGTCCATCTCTGTTCTGAACTTCAGCCTCCTAATTTTGAATGCAAATCTGTACATATTTCACTCATAAAAAAGAAAGAAATCAGATTTTGAAAAAAAAATTAAAATTATCTTTAAGACATAGTCTAAGATATCTCCAAAAAAAAAATTCATGAGAATCAGTTGCACTCTTAATGATACTATTCAAGTTTGATGGTGATTTTCATCTAGTGACATCAACTGCATAAATCTCATTGAATCAAGAAATATATCAAAAAACACGAGCTTTAGATTTATCATATATACGAGTGATTTGCAACTTTTCGGTATTATTGATACGAAAATTTGAAAGTAAACCTAAGCAATTTCGCAGTAGTATATTTCATTACATTCTATGTAGAGTCCGTCAGGTTCGACTCTGAAATTCTTTTTTTTTCAGCGGAGCCTGCATGTGGATCCCAAAACTATATTGCACAGCAAAAGTTTCCTACATATTTGTTGAGATAAGATTTAGTTAATTAATTATTATCTCAATTTACTATCGGATTTTTGCATAATGAAACGGAATCAATTGTGTAAAAATATAATTCATTTTCATTTATTCACTCTTACTTCAAATATTACATAGGAAAAAATGTCGTTCTACAAAATGTAGTATTCGTTATTTTTCATTTCCCTATTTGAAATATTGATAAGACTGATATGAAGTTTTCTGACGAGAAAAAAAAATGAATGTACTTGGTATACTTTTTTTTTGTGAAGTTTTATTCTTGTCTTCTTATATTACAGCAGGAAAACATAAAAAGGTCAAGGAAAAAATTCTTGTATTGTTACAGTCATTAAGAGAATGATAAATACTCTATTAAGTATAATAAGAAAGACATGTAATAGTAAATGATCGACATAAGAAGTAGTCGTTATTCAAAAAAAAAAAACTATGATTGAATATTTCGATTTTTTCTAATAATTGTATGAATGTCATTGATAGTAAGAGACTATTACAATGAAAGAGATAAACAAATAACAGAAGATATCAAGATAAAATAAACAGACAAAATTAAATTAGCTTTAAGCAATTATTCAAGGTCTATTCAATAGATTTCAACAACTTCATATTAGTCATATTGATAATTTTATTTTGAAAGCCAAATATTACAAAAAAAAATACTGCATAGTTTGTAATAAACTGATATTATCTATGCAAATATCATCACGTATTATTTGATTTCGGATCAATTTGATACTACGATTTTATTTTGAAATACAAATCTTTAAATATCTACTTTCTATTATTTTATATATATATATATTTTTTTGTTTTCTTGTTTCTATTTACTTACATTGTACAGTATATTTATGTCCTTCATCACTATTTGGTTCAATAATTCTAAAATCGCACATACTTATTTTTGGAAAATATTTCGATACAGGATTAGTACGTAATATACCAGCTGTAAATATATGTCGAAAACCTTTTAATGTTTCATTAACTGTCCATTTTTCTTCAAGTAAAAGTCTTATAGCATATAATTGAACAAATGTATTTATAATAAATAAAATTTTTGTTAATAAATAAAGAATAAATAAATATGAATTAAAAACATTTGAACTTCGAAAAATACAATAAAATAAACCATTAATATAAGCATTGATTTTACTATGTTGTTGTTTTGAACGTTTTCTTGGATCACTAATATATTGATTCATTGATGATATGATATATCCCATTATAGATTTCTGTTTATGAAAACGTTTAACAGTTTTAAGACTATGTGCTGCATCCATTATATTACGTACATCTATACCTGAATGACGACTAAATGAACGCCAAAATAAACGTGGAAGTAAATAGAGTAATGCTTGTAGTAGTAAAATAAATGGAACAAATTGATAATATCGTAATACATATCGTTTTTCATGTGCTCGTTGCATATTTGGTTCACTAATATTTATATGATATGTCTAATCATACATATATAAAATATGCAGTTAAATTAGAAAAACAAAAAAAACTTTTCTTTATTCTCTTACATTGTGTATCCAACAATAATTGGATACATATATTTCATAATTTCGAGTAAATATGGCTGGTACCCAACTAGATTAGAATAAAAAAGAAAAAAAAATCTGAAATTTATTTTTGAAATAAAAGAAAAATTTTTTTACCATTGAATTGGATCAGTTGAAAATTGTTTACTAGCAACAACTATTGAAAAAAATATTAATAAACCTACAGTATATTTATAATTTAATCGATCAACAAAATCATCATCACGTCGAATACCAATATAACTTATTGTAGGTAAACGATGAAATGCATTAAGAATGTCCATTTATTAAAAACTAGTAAACGATACAATCGATCATTAATAAATGACGATGAAAAAATGACTTTCTCTTTCTTCTTCTCGGAATCAACTATGCATTAAATGATAACAATAAGAACAATTGTTATTTGTCTAGAAGCGTCGATCGATGATCGAAGCGACAGTAACTATTATGGATTCTGTTTCTCGTGTGCATTCAATCTACTAGAAACATATAAATAAACGCATCTGTACAGTATCATCAACGATATTACTATTTTTTTTTTCTGTTTGTTATTATCATTACTGTAAGTAGACATTAGTATGGTAACTTATCATCATTTTTTTTCTTTGTCGTACTAAACGAAACAAAGTAATGTCATTGACAATTGGCATATGGAAACAGAAGAAAGAATCAAAAAAAAAAAAGAAATAGATCATTTATGCTTTTCCTTAAAAAAAGATTCGATTATAAATCAAGGAATTTTTTTTTTGTGTTATTATCTACCTATACAAGTTCTTCTAAATGAAATGAAATACACCGTATGAAGCATTATAATAATAGATAGATTCTAGTTAACATCTAATCATTATTATTCTAGTAAAATATCTTATTTACTTTTTTTTTTTTAAATGTTAATTAAAGTTACTTTGATGTTATCAATGTGTTTGCATGCAAGGACAATCGATTAATCGATTGAATAATAAATTAGTCACTAGAGACAAATGCATGACAAGATTATTATCTACAATATCTTTTCTTTATTTTGTTATTAGACATAGACGAACATAAAGGATACAAATAGATCTTCCTTGTATATATGTGTCACATATTGAAAATTAGGATTGACGAGATATTTCTAAAAAATACACTCAACTGTTGATAAATCAAATATAAAGAGTTTCTAATAAATAGTTTTCTTTATCATGTTTCAATTAAGTTTATATCAAAATGAAAGGCATTGCTTGAATTCATTTTATTTTAAGCAAAATAAAGAAATTTTTATGAATATATCAAAAAACATAAAATAAAACAATTTTATGGCAAGATGAAACAGTGATATAAATATCTTAGATAAAAATAAGACAAAAAAAAATATATAATTAATGAACACATCATTATGACAATAGCTGATTGTATATTTGAACTATACATATCTATATATGTATACGTTCATATTATATCAAAAAGCAATCGAAATGACTGTTCATAATTTGTTTATTACAACATATCAATTTCATCTTCATCATTCGATAATGATTTACCAGTACCTACATAAAAAAAAGAAGTTCGAAATAAATAAGAAAAAAAAAATTAGATTTTAAACATACGTGTTTCACATAAACGACCTGTTCGACCTTTTGGACAACGGCATTTAGGTTGTGATTTTATATAAACACATGTACCACCAGCTTGACAATCTAGTGAACAATATTGTTTAATATTTGATCGTTGAACTAGAATTTCAAATAATAGCATATCTAAAATCAATATACTTAATAAAACTTACTTTTTTCACATAAAACACCCGATGTACCCTTTTGACATATACATTGTGAACCAGATTTTGTTGTAATACATTTTGCCTTATTCATACATGGATTTTTTGGTGAACATGATTTTGGTCGATTAACTAAAAAAAGTTGATTAAATTCAATAGAAAAACCAACAATAAATAAAAATAACTTACTAAATTCACATTTGGTTCCATAATATTCATTTGAACATGAGCATCGAGCTTGACCACTTTTTTCATCTATGTAGCAATTGCCACCATTGAGACATGTCTTATTACATGTTTTTGATATTAATGAACGACCACTACGAGCTACATATTTCAAAATAGAAAATTTTTAAAAATTTTAAGATTATATTTCGACATACGATATTGACAATAATAACCAGCCTGATAAGGCGTACACCAACATCGTGCTATATGATTTTGAACTCCACATGCTCCTGCATTTTGACTAGAGAAACAAAATAAAAATATATCAACAAACATTTATTAAATCAGTTAGAAAACTAACCATGGATTTGGCATACATGGATTTGTTACAACAGTTGTTGGACATGGTGTCATTACACATGGACATACATTACATGGTGCTCGTGTAGCTATTGTAGTAGCTACTGTTGTAGTTATAACTAAAAAAAAAAATAATATCCAGAGACAATTCATTATATTAATAAACCTATTGTTCAAAAGTGTGTATTTCTTTTTACAGAAAATGATATGAACATACTTTGTTGACAATTGGTACCAGTATATGGATAAGAACATGTACAAATATAACCGGTAGTTGTTTGTTCACAAAAACCATTATTAGCACATGGATTTGGCATACAATAGTTTCGCATTTCACATCGTGTACCATAAAATCCTGTAGGACATTGACAAAGATATGCTAGTAAAAGAATTGATATTTTATTAGAAAAAATAAACACAAAATAAACACACATGTCCCTGACGGAATACATTGTCCCCCATTTCGACATGGTGATTGAGCACATGGATTAAATGGTGTTGTAGTTGTTACTCGGATTTCACAACAACGACCAGTCCATGTTGCTGGACACCGACATACAAATGATGTACCTTGAGCTGTACATATTCCCCCATTTTGACATGGATTCGGTTGACATGGTGTAGCAGCTAATAGAAAAAAATTTTTAAGATTAGTAAGAATCTTTTTTGTTTTTTTGTTCATGAAAATTATTTACCTGGAGCTTCACAACGATTACCAACAAATGTCGCTGGACAATTACAAAGAAATCCTGGCCCATTTGGAATACATTGGCCACCATTTAAACCTAAACATAAATATTAATTTGTTTCTTATTTTAAAATTTAAATAGAAATTTTTACATGGATTTTGATCACATGGACCTCGTGATTGCGCTTAAAATAAATAATAATAATAATAATGTTCATACTGAAAAAAAAGAAAACCATATATTGCATACGTGGCGCTGTTGCTGATGAACATTGATTAGTACCACAAAAACATTGAATAGTATTACCGACAACACCACAAGTACCAACAATACAGAATGTACATTGATATCGTTTAGGTGTTTTTATTGGACCAAGTGCTCGTGCTTCAGCTAATGTTTGACCAATTGGAATATCATCCAGAGCATTTCGATCAGCTTCATATGTTTCGATTGTACTATCAGCTTAATTTTTTAAAATAGAATTTATTTAGAAAAAAAGAAAATCCTGAGAAAATGAAGACAATAAATTACCGAGTTTACGTTCATCTCCTGGACTTTGTGCATTACATGATTCAACATATTCTTTCCATGCACATGTTTTTAATGTATCTTCCCATGCTGTACCAGGAGGACATGTAAATTTAATACGTAAATTATGAAAACATCGAATAAATTTTGTACAATCTTGATCAGCAGAAAAATCTTCACATGTATCTATAGATAAATAATTATTAATAAATATTCTTTTCATAATTGCTTACTTTGACCAATAACGGAAATGATCAATGTAGTAAAAAAGTATAGAATACTCTGACGATATGAGAATACCATTGTTTCTTTTCGTTGTGTTTCTGTTGTAATGAAAAGAAATTGAAATAACACGTCCTTTTTAAAGCTTTAAGCCAGGCCTGACTTTCACAAAACAATCAGACAATACGTGGTGGTTATAACATGCATAAAACTGAGTATGTACTGCTACACTTTATGTCTACAGCTACGTAAAGGTTAATCTTATTTTTTTTGTCTTTTGCGGTTGTTTTTTTTTTCTAAGTAAAATATGTAGGCGATGCAGTGATCGTTTTTTTGTCTTTTTTATAAGACAGACGCAATGAATAAGCATAAAGATGACGGATGAATATGTTCGCTTATGTGTGTATGTATGTGACCCATTGTTGATATTTATTCAGGAGAATATTAATGCATCGATAATCCTGTTCTTTAAAGTGATGAATTATTTGAAAAACAAAGCATAAATATTTTAAACTTTTTGAGAGTAATTGTCATGACCAGTCATCACTCATTCACACATGGGGAAGGCTTGAGATCAAAGTTAAAAAAAGTTATGTCTACTATCGGAAAGAATACGATCGATAGAGTCGGTTACATTGCTAATTTTTCCAGTAAAAATAACACTTCCAGATACTAGCGAATCTAGGACTTTGGAATGTTTATTAAGAACTGAGTTGGCTCATTTTTGAGCGTTTTCTGCTAAGCAAAAATGGAAAAATTTGTCGACAAAAAGTAACGATCAGCCATTCTCTAAATCTGCCACTGCTTCCACAGACAAAAGCAATGTATACTTTTAAACATATCCGTAATTCTGAGAAAACGTTTCTAAATATCAAACCACCTTTGAGTCATGTCTATGCGCATGATGAAGGTTCTAATGAACTATGAATACTCTAGAAAGAGTTCGGGCTAATAGCTTATTAATGCTGAGATACTGTATTTTTTTATCAGAATGCCGTGATTTTCCTCAGACAAATTGACTTTCGAATTTTCACTTGAAACTTTGCACAGAAATAGATCATACCGAAAATGACTTGCTGTGAAACTTTCAGATTTCTTGATGAAACCTATTCTGAAACAGGGACATTGAAATTTACCGTTGTATATAAACGACGTGGAAAGCATGCTTTTACCATAGTTGTATCTTACGATAGAAGAAATCAAAGCATTCTACTAAAAAATCCAGTATCGCGGCAATAATAAGTGATTAATACAAACTCTTTCAGCGTATTCATATAGCTAATTAAAACAAGTCTATAGAGTTTATGATTTTGATCAAAATCGAATTAAAAATATCCATGATCTTTTGGTCTGTTTAGATATACGTATTTTTATGTTCATTCTTTTTCTTTATGTTCTACGGGTATCATGTTAGCAGTATTTTTAATGCTAACATATCTACTCAATGTAGCTTGTAGAAAACTACCTAAATATTCCATCTGTAGCATTTCAGGTGATATAACGACCATCCACAACGCCATGGTACCACCGGGAATACTACGAACACTAGCTGGTATGCTATAACAATCCTGCAGACAGCACATGCAATGTTAGAGACAACACTTGAGATAATACAACGATGCTATATATTACCACCTCAGACTCTTCACACAGTATTTAAGATGCTTCAGACACCACCTCCAATGCTACAGATAGCATGCCTAAAGAGCATTTGAAATGCAACAGGTAGCACGTTGAATAGCCCCTAAAAAGTTATAGACAACATATTCACCTAGTCTCCGAAAACTGAGTTGAAGTGCATACATATGTTAGAATTAAGAATAATGCTAACTTAATTCTAACACCTTGGCATTATTCAAGTCTCAGATCAATAATGCTGAAGCATAAATTAAAGATAGATTTAACTGTGTACACAGAGACGAGTATGGATCGCGGCTGTGCTGTAGACACTATCCAGATATAAAAGGTTAGATATACGGGCAAATCTTTTAAAATTTTTGTTAAAATGAGTTCAACATCCAAGTTTTACCGGTGTGATAGATTGCAGCATTTCCACTGGAAGTTTAAAAAAGGACGTATAGAAAAAAAATAATATGTTATGATATGATTATATTTTTCTCAAAAAAGGCTTGCTGTCTTTTTTTTATCAGTATTTCTCGAAGAAATCATTCTTTGCATCCACTTATGTTACGAAGATTCATTGGCATCCGAAAACCGTGATATTTTTAAACTATTAAACGTTTTATAGTTTACCTATTCATGAATATATATATTTGGCATTACTATTGAATTCTGAGTACGATAAAGTATTTAGTTTGTCGAAACTCTGGCTTTTCTCTGATCAAAAATTTTTCGCTCATGGATTCTGATGAAAACTGCTTTAATTAATGCGAGAATTTGACGGTGATAGCGAATATCTGATTGCTTTTATCTTGACTCGGAATCTGATTTTCGGGAGTTGGATGAAATTCCATAATGCTTGATCATACCGTATTAAAAACTTATATATCAATTTGATAAAATATTCGTAATGATTCCATAAAATTTGATTTAGTATTTGTTCGATAATCTAATTATATTGTTGTTCTATTTTGAATTCAATGACAAAAATTATAGTATTCGATATGTTTGTTGTCGTTTTAAGATCTTTTGACGTTGTCATTTAATTGTCTAATCTGTCACTGTCTGATGAAATTTGTTATTTTTTTTTAAAAGATAGTTAAATTCTCAACAAAAGTCAAATGATAAAATGATTTTGTCTGACATTGTGTTTTATCTATGCCAATGTTTTGTATTTGACATAATAAGAAAAACAAGTTCGATTTATATAAAAATAAATATATATTTCAGTCTTATCTGAAAAGCTTTCAAAGTTTGAAAATAATCATTTAAAATTTTAGTTCTTTTTTAATGATAATCATCAAATGCATACTTGATTTGACTTGATACATCATCAATTTTTTTTCTTACTTTTTTAAGTGTAAAAGACATATACAATTCTAATAGTAAATACATATGCCTAATTATGTAGTCAGACATACTACTTTATTTGACTTAGTTTCACTATTGCAATTGCTACTTAAAAATTCTTTTCATCTGATTTCTTTTTTTCCCGTTTTCATCATAAAAAAGACATGGCAAAATGCACGACTAAATAAAAGAAATCATCAAGTGAAAAGTGAACTATAATTCATTATCATTAACAATCAGACGACAAAGAACAATCTCCCATCATATTTATTCATTCAAGCAAATGAAATCGAAACTGACCGATGAACAATCTAATTGAACGCTCTATAAATTGACAAGAAAAGAAGAAGAAAAAAGATGTATTATGACATTTGACGTAAGTTCATCAGACATAAAAATGTGCAATTGATGATGGCAGCAGTATGTGTGTAACAGTCATCGCACGTTTTGACTATATATAAATGTGAAAAGAATGTTCATTAATAAACATAACAAGATTTAACTAACAACTAAGCAAGATCATTATCTGTTTGTACAGTATCAAAGAAGAAGACAGACAACTGTTGTTTAGTTTATACTAATACTCTCTTATACAAACGCAAGAAAAGAAAAAAAGAAGAAAAGGAAATCATTTCGAGTTGTTCTCTTACATATCAATTACATCATAACAAAGAAATACACTATAGAAAGAAAAAAAAAGAATTACTATATATTAACTAACTCTTTAGAAGTATAGACAAATATAATGGTACTATCAAATGGTTATAAATGTGATGGTGGTAATAGAACAATACGTTGGTCACAATTTTGCGATGGAATTATTGATTGTTATGATCGTTTTGATGAAGAAGGACATTTTTGTAGTAAGTTCTAAATTCATAATATCTATATCTTTAAATTAAATGTTTAATTTTTAAAAAGAACTTTGTATAAACAATCTTTATTCATGTCCACCAAAAGATGATATACGTTGTGATTTAGCATGTAAAATGCTTCATTATGTACCATGTCAAACCATACAAGATCGTCGAGCATGTCATAACATTGAAAAAGATTGTAAGTTGATACTAATAGAAATATTTCGACTTGAAAAAAAAAACTACTAAAGAAAAAATATTGTTATGTATTCTCATCCTCACTTTCGACACATATACTTCTTAGCAAAAGTTTATTCTTCATATATGAAAAGATATTAATGAATACTTTAAAATCGATTATTTTAAAGATGTTGTTTATTTTTTGATTAGAAAGTGTTAACTATGAAGAATTGTGTTAGAACGCGAAATATCTAACTATATTATTATATGTCGAGCATAGTTGATAAATATTGACTTACTAGAGGCTAATGAAAAGAAAAAAAAATCATTAAGTAATTGCATCGATATTTATTAAAGGTCAGATATTATATAAGATTTATTTGTATGTAATTATATATTATGAACTTCTAAAAATATTTACTCTTTTTGTATTATAGATGAAAATAATATTCTTGTTCAATTGTTCAAAGAATTCAAAGTTTATATTGGTATGTTTAATGTTAAAAAGACTAAAGTATACGACGCATAGTGAGAAAAGCGAAAACTTCATACTTCAAGAGTATGTCGAAGTTTATTTTCTAGACTTTCTTACACTATTTCAAGTTTGCTATCAACATGCATGACGAATATATTGGTTTGAATTTATTTCATTTAAATCTATCTGGCAGTAATACCTAAATACTTCATTGTACTTCAGACAGACTTGTATGAAATTTTTCGCTTTTTCCTCTTTGATATGAAAAAAAAAAAATGTTCGCAGAAAATCATATTTTGATCTTTGTAATATATTACATTTATATTGAACTAATCAATTTCGTCTATGAAAATTTTTTTCTACTACCATTTTTCTATATAATTTCTGTAAAATTTAATAGATTATCTTCAACTATTTTAGTTGTTACTATTATGATTTTTCTTGTCTTAATTGGTCTTATTATTCCAATTAAATATCTTATTCGTAGACATCGACAAAATATAGTCAATACTACACCAATAGTATATATTTAACTTATGTTATGTTTTTTTTGATCTACATTCACTAAATATTCTTTTTATATTTAGTCATTAAATCATTCTTATGTTTCAAATCGTCAAATCGAAACAGATACATTATCTAGTCATACATATGAACAATGTTATGAACCACCATCTTATGAAACTGTACAAAAATGTCCATTGATGAAAACATATTATGAACATGTTGTATGATAATGAGAAAGGTTTCCGGTAAAATATATATATATGATTTCTATTGACAATATTAATAAAGTCTTTTATTGATTTTGTTTCTTTTATATTTAATCTTTTCTAAACATAAATCATATACATATTTTAATTAAATTATGTAATACAAATTAATCAACAACTTTTCTTTCAATAGAAAAATTATACATCGGCTATATCTAAATAATTACGTTAAAATTCTGATTATGAAACAAAGCATTTAATAGTAAATTATAAACATAGTTTCATGAAATAAAAAAAAAACAACATCAATGTTACATTTCGAAGAATAAACTTTAATAAACAAAAAAAAAATATCGCTTATTTAATGAATTTTAACTGTATCGAAATGAAAGACGTATATAGACCATTTCCTTCCTGGGAGAGTTTACATGTATTGATACGTACTACTTATTATTGATGTAATATACATTGATCGATGGTTTGGCACAAACGACGTATATATATATGTTGGCGTCCAAACTCGGATTGGACGTAAATTCATCAGGCCAATCTGAAATTCGCCTAGGCCAAACTGAGATTGGACGCTGTCATATATATATATGTTGCATCAGTCTTTGAAAGATAAATAGTACTGATTAGAAATGAACAATAATGTAATGTAACCATTTCCGTATTTTATTATTTTGCTTTGCAGACAAGAATTTTGTCAAAGAAAGATTGAATCAAGTTAATAGTACGACTTCTGATGATAATGTTACAGTTTATGTCTCAATAGTTCATTTCTTCATAGGAAAGCATGGATATCAGTTGAAAAAACAAATGGATTAAAAGATGTTTAAAAATAAATCTTAGCATCATCATCAAGGTTGTTGTCTCGCTTTTGGAAAAACATACAATTGTGTCAGCCGATATATATGACAATGTTTGTTGATACTCAATCTTTTTTCTTTTGATTTACGTGCAATATTTTATATGTTTATGTCTATAATAGATTATGTGTTTGATATAAAGCCTATGGCATAAATCATATATCATTTTTTCACAAAAGTCTAATGTCATAATTAAGAATGGGTTAGACAGAGGCGTCACTTTATCACCAGATTAAAGAAAAACGTAATAAGTAGCATTATGAGCCTCAAGAGTTAACTGATATTTTCGTTTTTCTCCATGGCAAAGAAGATGAGTTTCTCTATAGAATAGCGCCACATTCTAAGTGAATAGAAATAACCAATTGAAAAAAAATTACTGTTTGATATTGTTGCCTAAGAGTAATGTCATATTTTTTTTTTCAAATTTGATAAATTTCAACAAAAAAAAATTGATTTATAATTTTTTTCATTGAAAAATTCTTTGAAGAGCAAAGTATCATTTTAATAGATTACTTGATTTTTATTGGTCAATAGAAACAGTTTGGTAATATCTGGTTATTTGCTTATTTCTCTTCATATTCATTTATTTATTTTTTTTCTTAAAAAATTCTCCTAAAAATGTGTGAAATCTCATCATCGATTTGTTCATCACCAATAGGTCATTTAACAATATCTTATTGTATAAAAGGTCTTCATTCTATTTCTCAAATATCAACAATCAATGATCAATCATTTATACCCGATGAAAAGTTAATATTTCATTTTATAAAAGAAAAAAACAACAACAATTTATTATCTTTAGTCAAAAAATTGAAATTCAATCATCATCTGGTAAATTACCAATACCTGAATCATGTCTTAATTGGCTTCGTACTTATTTTCATTCACCAAATAATTTAACTTCAACACCTGAACTTTGTCCAAATATTATGTCAAAAAAAGGTTCATTTCAAGAAAATGTTTGGTATACACTTTTAAATAATGTTCATTTTGGTCAAATAATAACCTATGGTCAATTAGCTGAATTAGTTGGAAATAAAAAAGCAGCACGTGCTGTTGGAACAGCTATGTTTCGTAATCCATTTCAATTAATTGTACCATGTCATCGTGTTATTCGTTCTAATGGTGATATGGGAAATTATTCAGGAGGAGAAAGAAATAATGTTAAATGTTGGTTACTTAAACATGAACAAAAATAAACATATATAATTATTTATTATGGATTAGAAACGCAAAAAGGTTTTGTTTTTTATTTTAGATAAATTCTTTAGAGAAAATTAGAAAGACAAAAAAAATCTTATATAAAAAATGGCCGCACGTGGTTCAGCACGAAATTCACGATTAAATAAAAAACCAAAGAAAACGAAATTACGTGGTAGGTTAAGTTGACTTTTGGATGGACGTTTTTCTATTGCAAAAGTTCTCGTTTTCAAGCATTTTTAAGATGAAAGTAGGTGTTTTTCTCAACCAACGTTCAAAAACTCTTCTTTTACTTGAATAAATATTGACGTTTTTCTAAAATATATTATCTTCATTTGTTAATTAAGAATTTCAAATAAATAGTTCTTTTTAAGCTATTCCAAGACGTGTCTATATAGCTTAAAATTGAGAAAAGTTGACTGTTTTCCTTCTCAGCTTTGCAATAGTCAGTTTTTGTTTTGTTATAGATTATTAACTATTTAATTACGATATTTTTTTTACCAAGAGGCTGAGTACTTCACGTAGCACTACATGAATAACTCTGTAGTTTCAGATCCTAATATAGATCTAATAAAATTCAACATCTACTCTTTAATACTAAAGGTTCAGCAATAACTTCAACTGTCTCGAGTGACAATGATTCTAATTTCTGTTTGATTTCACTGAACTTTGGAACAATTTTCATTGCAGATAGCCTACGGATTCTCAAAGGTTTTTAAATTCATAATTCCTTTTTCACGTGACATACATGTACAATGATTTTATAGAATGATACTTAAGGCATAAGACATATTAATAGATGATAGTATTCAGTGTGGTAATAGTGTAAAACATTATTTCAAACAGTCTTGCAAAAATTGTTTATATAATTCAATATGAAAATTTTTCTTTAGGTAACGTTTCTCATGGTCATGGTCGTGTTGGTAAACATCGTAAACATCCTGGTGGTCGTGGTAATGCTGGTGGTCTTCATCATCATCGTACACTTTTTGATAAATATCATCCGGGTTATTTTGGTAAAGTTGGTCAACGTGAATTTCATAAACTTAAAAATCGTCGTTGGTGTCCATCAGTAAATCTTGATCGTTTATGGTCACTTTTAAGTCAACGAACACAAGAAAAATATACTGAAGGTGAATTACCTGTCGTACCTGTTGTTAATGTTGTACGATCAGGTTATTTTAAAGTATTGGGTAAAGGTCTTTTACCAAAACAACCACTTATTGTCAAAGCAAAATTTTTCTCCAGACGTGCTGAAGAAAAAATAAAGGCAGCTGGTGGTGCTTGTGTACTTTTAGCATGAGACATATTAAAAGATCATGTGTATTGTCTCTGTTTACAGAAAGAAATAAAAAAAAGAAATTATTATTATTATCATCAACATCATTGTTTTTTTTTTTTTTTTTCGTTTGTAATCGTTATTGTTTTGCTTGTTTGTTTTTTTCCTTTATAAGCATATAAAAAAAAAAAAGAAATACGAAAACAAACGAAAACTAAATAATAATAATTCTTCTTTTTTCATGGATATTATGAAAAACAAAACAAGAAATATATATATATAACTTCTTAGCCTTGCAGATATGTGCCAAGTAAACGAAGAGGACGATGAAATATTTCAAGAACTCAATTCTACAATAAATAAGTAGGTGAAGATGAAATTTTTATGAAAAATTATTTCGTATTTATTATTTGTCTAAAAAATAAAATAAATTTTTGTTAATATTATAAAATCTTTTTACAGAACATCAGTTAATCGAAAATGTATGAGTTGTGATCAAGATGCTTGTGTTATTGTACGTATTGCTGATCCAATGTGTCAGTAAGTTATTCAGTAGACTTGATAAGTATCAATTATAAGATTATTTAAAGATAGAAAATGTAATGTTTTCGTTAGTCAATAAATTTCTCTATCAAATATATATCAGAATGAAATTTCATAGCGGGAATATGATAGGCAGGTTTCTGGAAAACAAAAAAACAATAGTTTTCAAGAGTACAAAATTTTGAACAAAATAAGGGATTGTTTTGCTCTTAAAAACTAGTTTTCATGCTTTTGTGTGGAATCTGTAATCGTTCTCTCATAGGTCGTCTATAAAATTTCGATAATAAATGCATTTGATAGAAAACTTTATTAGCTTACTAATTGGATTTGAATCAAATGCTTGGTTTCCTATCAAAAATATGTTGACCTTATACTTTTGACCAGTATCATATCTTGTTTATTTCTGTTCAGCATATGATTCGTTTTCGAAATTTTTGTGGTCAGTAATGTTCAACTACAAGATAAGATTTTCTAAGAATTTGAGATTTATATCCTAGTCTTGTAGAACATTTACAAACTTTCATGAGATTGATTGTATGTGTAGCTGAAAGATGACACTAGATCATGAACTGTCGACAGATCAAGAAAATCCTTGTTTTTCAAAAGGATAATAAATGTTGTCGATTACCATCTTTGATAATTCTCTTTGTTCTTAACCAATCGAAACAGAATTTTTCTCTTTGAAATAACCTAATTGATTTTCTATTTATAACGAGACAAAGTAAGATAAAATTTCAGTTTTATCAAACTGAAACTTCTAAGAGAATGTCTTGAATGAACTGTTTTCTATTAGTAATGTTTTACTAAACTCAGTAATAGCCGATATTAATTTTAAGAAGTGTTTTTTTTTTCTTCTAAATTTTATAACTGTGAATTATATTTGTAGGAAATGTTTTGAAGAATTTTTTATTCATAAATTTCGTTCAACAATATCAAAATCTAATATATTTGGACGAGGTGAACATGTTCTTATTGCATATTCCGGTGGACCATCATCAACAGCTTTGCTTCATTTAATTGCTGATGGACTTAGTGTAAATGCTCGACGACGTCTTCAATTTCAAGCGCATGTTGCTTTCATTGATGGTGATTAAAAATTAAACTTTTCTTTTTTTTTTTTTTTTGTTAAA